CAGGAGCAAAGTTAAGCTGGTTTAGATTTCTCTCTAGGAGTCCATCTTCTTCTCAACTCTCCACTGACTTGAGTTTTTTAAGATTAAAAAAAAAAAGCAAAGAAAAAATGAGAACTAGAAAATGAGGTTACTGGGAGCAGAATGGGGATAAAAAAGTACAGTGAGGACTGAGGGGGACTGGACAGAAACTCTCAGGTTTCTGTTCTCCAATGCTTTGAATAACTAGCCCTACCTTAGCATTTAATTTATCATAAATAGGCGAACTGAAAAACAAACAAACCAGAAAGCTGGAGAGGGGGAAGAATTCACTTACGAATGAGACGGAAATAGAATTGAACACCTTACACACAGTACTGAGGTAAATTTCTAGGATGTCAGGCTAGACAGAAATCATAGTGTCCAAGGGGCTCATGTCTCTGTTGTTCTCACCTGGTCTTCTTTTTCCCACCTCCAGAAAATGTGTAAGAAGCACAAGTTTCCCCATTCAACTAGTGTGAGAAATTCTCAGTTGGACTCTGGAGTAATATAATTCTAGGTAATGTAGGGAGGGAGGGGGCAAGAGAATTAAAAATGTTGATCAAGCTACATTCAGAGACTGCAACATGCTGATCAGCCCTGCAGCCAGGCCAGGAGGACACCTTCAGAACAAAGGAAGATTTCTACTGAGATTGCTAACAATCCATTCCCCACACCCCTGAAGGGGAAAAAGGAACCAAGAGAGTCAGTCATTCCTTATGGCTAAAACCATGGGGAACCTATGGATTAAAGGCTGGGAACTGCCAGCTGGCCTTTCACTCTATATACTCTTCCCCTTCCTCACTGCAGTCCATATCAAAGGAAATGGGAACTAAAGAATGATAAACTGAATTCCCTGAACACTCTGGGTCCCTCTCACTCTCTGGCTCTGAGAGGAGACCTTGCTGTCTGGAGTGTTACCCCTTTTCTAATAAACTTTCATTTTAACTCTAACTTTGGCGCATGTGTTGATTCCTTTCTACACTCTCTGCCAAAGGACCCTGTTCTCCTCTCAGTGCAGGACTTGGTCTCCCTCCACTAACTCGGGGAAAATGTGCCCTGTCCTGCATCATAGTGATAGGCAAGCCTCCACAAGGCCTCAGAATTAGTTCTCTGGAATGAAGCGAACACAGGCTGGCATGCTTAACACTGTTGGCTCCAGAGGCCCAGAGACTAACCCCAAGGATTATGGGGATTGGCTTTCAGCCTCCCACTCGCTCCAAATTCACCCCAATTCTCACTTCTAGCTTCTTGCCCACGAAGCCAAAGACTTCATAAGACTAGTTTGTTGTCCAGCCACACAGGAAAAGGCTAAGGGATGCTTCCCCCACGCAATTACGGCTCTAGATCCAGGCCTCCTGCTTCCTAGGTCTTTTTCCTGTGGTCCCTGTGGACTCTAGTGTCCAAATTCTCAAGGCGCTCCCCTGGGCCTTGGGGCAGGACTCCCATTCTCTGCTTCTCCATCTCCCTGGAATTTTCCACTGCAGCTGCCTCCGCTCCCAGACACCCCTCCCTGGGCAAAATTCCCGGTTCCCTCCGCCTTCCCTTCCCTAATCACACCTCATTCCCACCCCCGGGCCTGAGGCCCCACCCACAGTCCAGCCCACACCCCACACTAACCCCGGTGGTTCCAGTTAGAGAAATGGAAGGCCAGGCCTTTACAGAAGGGTGAGAGAGAGAGAGGATCCCAGGATCCTTCCAGAGCGGGGAGAAAGGAGAGTAGAGGGGCTGGTCCCCTCTGGGGCTGGAGTGGGGGGAGTGGCCCTCCTCAAATCCCCATATAAGGCAGGGCAAGCAGTTAGGCTCCTGGATTGGCTGATTCAAATGAGCATTCCACCTGGCAACAGAGTTTCTATTGGCTCTTAGGAAAAATAGGAGGAAGGTGGATAGAGGTTGTTGGTGGCGGGGATTGGAGGGGGGAGGGGAGTGGAGGTGACCGAAGTGGGGGGCGGTTACCAGGGCAACAGGGTAAGAGCCCAGCAGGGTGTCTGAGACAGCAGGCG